ACAATCACTAAATTGTATAATGAATTCGTGCAGACATTGAGATCATTGAAAATGAAGACATCGATGACTTGGACCGCAGCAGCGATGATGAAGAAGACGGCGACGCTATTGGCGGCGATTTAGTGGACGACTCCATCCATGGATTCAACGGCCATAAGAAGGCTGTTCTCAGTTGTGCTCTGAGTAGTGACCGGAGGTATGCCGTGAGTGGCGGCGAAGACGACACGGCGTATGTCTGGCGGACCGATGACTCCGGTGTTGCCTTTGAGACGAGTGGACACAAAGAGTCGGTGGTTTGCGTGGCTTTTAATGGTAACGACTCATACGTGTCCACCGCTGACATGAATGGATTGATTCAAATTTGGACAATAAATGGAGAGAAAGTGTTTGACTTTGAAGTCGACGAAATCAATTGGATGTCATGGCATCCGATGGCCAACAACGTGCTGATGGCCGGAACCGCTACCGGAGACGCCTGGATGTGGAAACTGAATACAAACCTCACTTCTGATTGCAAAACATTTCAAAGTTTTGGTAAATCTAATTGTGTGGCCAAATGTCTGTCCGATGGGAAGCGCATTGCAATGGGTTATGACGACGGAGTGGTCCGCGTATGGGATCTTAAGAATGTGTCCGTAATTCACACCATTAATGGTTTGTCAACTATCACTCGTTTTATTGATAATTTGGTGATATATTGGATTAATTGCAGACTTTAGCGCACATAAGGGAACCGTTACGGCTCTCGACTGTACGGCTGACAGCTCTTTGATCGCTTCGGGTTCTTTGGACTCGACCGCCAAACTGGTGAACAGTCAGACGGGGAAAGTTGTGGCGACCTTTCAGTGCTCTAACGGGTCGGCCGACACCGAAGACGAGGGCAACGATTCGGTGGAAAGCGTTGGCTTGAATTCGACGCTCTCTGTGTTGGCCACGGGAACCGTTGAGGGATCGGTCGATATATGGGATATGTCTACACAAATCAAACGCCACTCATGTAAACACGAATCGGGCATTTCTAAGCTGTTATGGGATCACAACAGCCCTCACGTGTTATATACGGCCGGTTTGGACGGTGTGCTCAACGTATACGACACCCGAAGCGGTGAACAAATCGGTGCCAAAAGAGGTCATTCCAACCATATTCTCGATTTGACGATCTCTAAGGACTCGACCATTGCATTGACCGCTTCCGAAGACAATACATGCAAAATATTTTCTCTTTTGTAAGGGTTTGCGAGAGATTTGAAATTAATGTATATTTAGTAAAACATTTTAATTATATGTTAAATAAAGAGATTTTATTTTGAATTTGCATAATATTCATGAATTTTGAAGTGAATGGCATTCATATATAGCTTGAAATATTGTTATATAAATGAAAATCCTTATGATATGAACAAAAGAGATGACATTTTTTTGAAATGAAAATCTATGGTAATCTCGGAATCATGAAAAGAGTTCATAATATATAATGTAAAGTTAAAATATATAATACAAATTGAATTAAATGTAAAACCCATTGGTTTGGTTGGCTGTAGAATAAACAGATGATATTATGGAGAATATTTGAATATGAAATTAGGCTTTTTTGTGCTCTCGTTATGAATACAAACCATATTAAACACTATTGTTTAGAATATAAGCCTAATTCTGTGCATTAATACCAGTATTTCATAGATTATTTAGTTTACTCTCAGAATTGAGTGCATTGATAGTCACATGTAAGCCAAGAGTTTATTTATCTAAAATGCTTTATTAGATTAATTATTACTGAAAATTTCAACAATTCTGTAGTTAATTAATTTTAATCATATTAGTTTTAAAATAAACACATGATTAAACAAACGACAACTATATATTAACTATAGTGTAAATACGGGTTTAAATCGCTAAATAAACTTTTTACAAAATATTCATAATTAACAATATTGATCTAACGTATCAAAACATTAATGCAAAACATTTATAAAAATGTGATTAATTGTAGTGATTTTTGTAACAACAACAATAAAAAGTAACTTTATGCAGAATTAAAAGCATATATTATTGAAATGTATATTTTAATACAATGAAAATATATATTCAAATATCAAATGTCATATTCTTTTTGTATACCGAAAAAAGAGGTTAATGTGAAAAATTAATTATTTGAAGCAAACGGCGATACATGCAATGTTTGGGTAAACCATACCATCTCTGGTATTCTCCGTGTGTTTGTGTGTAAAGCCATTGTATAATAGATTGTATTTAAATAACCAGATTTGAAAAGATTGAGGTTAAGGGTTGATATATAAACAATGCACATATGTATGGATCCTGTGTCTGCTCTAACATAAACTATCATCAAATGAAAAATTACATAACTTTCTGTAATTTTTTAAAAGCAAAACATATATATTTTTTACAAAATTTTTCAAAATTTAAGCTAAAAGTCTGAAGTTTTTCTAATTAATTATGTATTACTACTGTATTTAATTGTTTGTTCGGGATTTAGACCGAGACTTACAGTTTAGTTATTTATTAAATTGAAGTTTTTTAATCCGAGTCTTCTATCATCAAACTAATTATTGATATACTTTGTGCTATAATTTATATGCAGAGAGTTTTAAATAGATCATAAAAATTTGCAAACGACTCCTCTTTTGCGATAAAAACAAAAATCTTTGCAAATAATTCAATCAATTTATTGATTATTAGCGGAACTTTTGCCAAATTCATGAATATTCTTGGCGTTTGTTTTCAAAAAAATATTTGCTTTCAGATAAAATGTAGAACATTTGGGGAAATGAAATATTAAATTAATATAATATTTATAATTATAATAAAAGAAAATCTTAAAACTATTGTTGAAAACTACTGTACAGTATATATAGAGCAGCAGATATATAGAGAACATGAATTACAGAATTATAGTAAAGGTAAACTATTGGACACAAATACAGGTATAATAATACAATAATAATACACATATTATATAAAAAATAATAAATGTCTATTTAGGACAATAGTTCAAACATTTATATTAATTTAATAATCAATATTATAATGAAGGGAATGAACTCTAAAATAGCAGAGCGACAAGAATATACTCAAACCCCAGAATGTAAATTATAAAAATGTATTTATAGAGCAAAAACATATTGACAGACAAGTGATGGCCCACTTCTGGCTATGGATTCACGGAATATAATAATAGACTAATTTTGAAACTTAAATACATAGGAATTGAGACACTTATTGAATGAATTTTGAGAGAAAGAATAGATAGGAATACTGAATGAATGGGAAAAATGTTTCCATAGAAACAATGGGACCAATAATACTGTGTTGTGTTTTGGTGTCTCCACTCGCTGTGTGAGAGAGCAGACACTTTCCGGTATGCAATGCACTCAACGCTCCATTCAATACATCTCCAACTCTTAGAGCAATAACTTTAACTCTAATGAGAGAAAAATCCAAACCATTTTTTGTCCACATATAAGTCATTCACATCTTGTTTTTTGTGTGTATTTTCTAATTAATTAATTTTTGCAAAACATTAGATTAATCGCCTGAATATAGTTTTGTACAAATCGTTGCAAATAGTATTTAATTGATTTTTATTACGTTTTTATCGTTAATATATATTGTCTGTCGATATAAGCCTAGGGAATGGCGTTGTCCTCCGTTGCCCTCAACTCACATATAGGTTATTGACTTTCATTCACTTCTCATCGCATACCAAATGGTAAGAAATGTTTGTTATTATTCTTATTCCTATCGTTGCTTACAATTGTTTTAACAATTTTAGTGTAAATTATGATTTGATTTTAATAAATAAATGAATGCACGAATCAAATACACAAATCAATTGAAATAATTAAAGATATATATTTCCCAAACGGTTTAAATAAATGACAAATGTATGCATTTAAGGGAAATTGTACTTCACTTAATGAAATAAATAATTATTCGTTTCATTCATTTAAGTAATTGCTTAATAGATATATTAAAGAGGGCTTTAATTGAAATGCACTATTGCTTTACTCAATATATACGACAATTTGTATTCTCGACAAATATACGTAATATTAAATTTTCACACAAATATATTAGTAATAAATGGTAAATACAGATAAATTCTATAATATTTAGTGAATATTAAAAATATAGTTTATTGACAGAGAGTTGTTATTTAAATATTATGTTTAGAGATTAAACTCTATTAAAAAGGGATTGAAATTTTGGATGTGAATTACAGTAATACAAACATCTGCCTTAAAAGTCACTTTCTTGCAGTACAGCCGCTATTTGTATAGTCATTCGTGTTTTACTGATATTTTCTGTGCAATAGAGACAATAATTTATCGTAATTTTTAATTACTTAATTAAATCAAAAATAAATGTATGGTTATATAGATGTAAGAAACTCTGGAAATTAATTTAATTTCCAAATAAAATATTAGTCCATTAGAAAATTCTACTGAATATGAAATGTTTATTTTAGATTTTGTACGACCAGTGCCTCAATCAATAAAACAGCTCAACTAAATTATCGATATAACTGTTTCCTTATAACCCTTTTCTACATTAAATCCATTTGAATGACTGCTGTTATACATGTGTAGAGATTTTATATAGATATTTAGTTTAATAATTACTATTTTTAATTAGTTTTTCTTAATTCTTGTTATTAAATTACTTTGATATGTTTATAAATTATAATTTATTAAATTAAATTAAGAAACAGTTTAAAGTTTTAACAATATTATTTATTAGCATTTTCCCTAAACAAAGCAGATTGAATTTAATTATTTATTTCTTATTTTTCTAAATTTTTAAAACTAAATTATATTGATAATAATTTTTAATAATAATATTTGTAATAAATTTATTTTTATGAAAAATTAAACTAGATCATAACTATAAGTCTAGACACTCCCGTTGATTTTATCTGTTTCATTTTGTTATATTATATACAGTATATTAAAAATAATATCAATTTATCGTATATTTATAGATAGTATAGTTTGCATAAAACTCTGACCTAATATTTGATAAGTTTTCTTTTGCGATAAAAATATTACTGTTTTATTTATTAATGTTTAGAACATTATAAATATTGTATAACCCTTTTCTACATTAAATCCATTTGAATGACTGCTGTTATACATGTGTAGAGATTTTATATAGATATTTAGTTTAATAATTACTATTTTTAATTAGTTTTTCTTAATTCTTGTTATTAAATTATTTTGATGTGTTTATAAATTACAATTTATTAAATTAAATTAAGAAACAGTTTTAACAATATTATTTATTAGAATTTTCTCTAAACAGAGCAGATTGAATTTAATTATTTATTTCTTAAATATTTCTAATTTTTTAAAACTAAATTATATTCATAATTATTTTTAATAATAATATTTATAATAAATTAATTTTTATGTAAAATTTAACTAGATCATAACTATAAGTCTAGACACTCCCTTTGATTTTATCTGTTTCATTTTGTTATAAATTTATACAATATATTGAAAATAAAGTCAATTTATCGTATATTTATAGATAGTATAGTTTGCATAAAACTCTGACCTAATATTTGATAAGTTTTCTTTTGCGATAAAAATATTACTGTTTTATTTATTAATGTTTAGAACATTATAAATATTGTAATCATTGGAGATGTAATGTATTTATCGTATATAAATATTTTTTATATGATTAATATTGTTTTGATCAATAAATGTAATCATATTAAATCAATGTTTTCATTCAATCAGTTTGTTTATGAAATGAATATAATCGACTGAACGATAACAATAACACAATGACATTAACAGTGAACATAAACTGTGAACCCCGGGAGTGAACCCAAAGGGATAGCATTTAATTTTGCAAAATTTGGTCACTTTATCGGCTGACAGATTGGAAAGGGTTGGGCGCATGCCTTCCCGTATATGTCTCTTTAGATTATTGTATTGAATTCAATGCAATCGCTTTTGCAGGCAATGGACTGCAATATAGGAAGATTATACGACATCATACATGTAGAAAGTACAGTATATGACCATGTACATATTAGAGGCAAAAGGATTACTATTTTCGTTTATGTTAAATAAAATAAAGTTTATTAAATTTTCTCAATACTCTTTCACTTTACACTACATTTTCAGAACTTATACTAAAACTATTGTCAAAGTTGTCAAAAATAATGCACTTAAATATATGATATTTATCATAACAAT